ACTCGAAACCCCTTCTCCGGGTAAGGGGGAGGGTGAGCCAGTCGGAAGGGGGAGGGGAGTCAGCTGCAGTCCATGGCTGGGGCACCTCTTGGAAAAGGCGCCTTTCCCAGTCGGGCACAGGGTCCTGAGGACTGCTCCCTGCAGGGACGCTGAGACCAGCTCCCAGTCTCTCCCCTGGCGACAAAGGCATTGGCGCGAGCCGCTCTGGATCTGGCCCGCTGGCTTTCTTCCCGACTTGCCACGAGCAAGGTCCTGCCTGCTGCCACTCGCCAGAGGCTGCCAGTGCGTAGCCGGGACAATGTGGCCATTGTTCGGGTGACACAGACCAGGCCGGCAGGCAGGTGGGAGGGACGCGGCGCGGCCGGTGCGCGGGCAATCGGGGCACCGGCAATCGGGGCACGAAGCGCTCCCTGGGCACAGTCACGGTCCATGGGCCAGGCACCCGCCTCCACACCCCCACATCCTGGCCTCGTGGACCAGTCCTCCTCAGGGCTGATGACGGAGGGGAAGGGAGGCAGAAGAGAACGGAGCGAAGGAGCGGGAGAGAAAGGGAAAGGTGAGACAGAAGAGGGGAGCAGAAAGAGAGAGAGAGAGGAAAAGACGAGAAAGGAGACAGGAAAGAGAAACAAAGGAGGCGGGGAGAAAGAGAGAGAGGGAGAGAAATAAAAAAAAATGCAAAAGGAAAGAGAGGGAGAGGGAGACATCAGGAATAGAAGGAAAGAAAAGATAGAAGGGAGGAAAGAGACAGGGTGGAAGGGGACAAAAATGGGGAAAGAAAAAAAGACAAAAAGGAAAGAGAAGGGAGAAAGAAGAGGAGGGGGGAAGAGACAGACAGATACCACAGGATGCCCCGAAAGCCTCTTGAAAGAGCAAGAGTTCACCCTGTTTCATAGAGGGAAGCAGCTCCAAACCCTGCAGAGTCAGCAAAGCAGCGTAATCACACCAGGGGCTTTGCTTAATTATGGGTTTGAGAGCTGGGGCTGGGGTAAGGGAGATACTTAACTGTGTCCCAGGGAAGGCCGAAGCACTCAAATGGTCTGTAAGGTTGGGGGAGGGGGGGAGTGGGAGAGGGGGAGAGAGAGAAGAGGAGAGGCGGAGAGGAGAGGGAAAAAGGGGAAAAGGGAGAGAGGGAGAGAGAGAGAGAGAGAGAGAGACACCCATTAAGCCAGGATCCTGCTGGATATGGCTGGGATCTGCAGCATGGTAGCCTAAGGCTGGCTGGGAACAGACATCGTGGGCAAGCTGTAATGTTCAGTGGGGACAAGGGTCCATGTGCTGAGCCAGTGCTGGTCTGCAGTGAGGCCGAGGGTCTGGAGAAGCCCCGCCTCTGCCTGCAGCAGGGCCACCCACCCTCCTCTCTCCTGTTTGCAGGCGGCCAGGGGCCCTCAGCCCAAGGGGGGAAATCAATCCTGTGCTAATGAATAAAAAGTCCCCTTTATTTCACTGCTGTTTTTGGTTCATTAAATTTTCCACAGATTTGCAGAGAAAAAAACATAATCAATAAACCCTGACAAAAGTGAACGTGTGAAAAAGGCCATAGAATGGAAAAGCGAGATAAAAGTGATATCCGATCACAGATTTCAGAGGCAGATGACAAGCTGGGGCCGCTGACGAATCTCAATGGACCATCACTCCTTTGCGGCTTCCCTTCCCTTTGCTGAAACTCTTCATTCAAGACAATAGTAAATGCACTACAACTTTTTTCTTATGCTAATGAATGAAACTGGGCACTCACAGTTAAAAACACTCTGCCCAGCAACCTGGGTTTTTTTTTTTTTAACACATATGCACACACACAAAACCACATTAACTTATTCAACTTAATCCAAAATCTCAAAAACAGTTTAATATGTACTCTTTGGTCACATCTTAAATTAGTTATTTTCCCCCATTCGTATAAAAGAAATCGGACTCGGAACACACACAGGATTTTTGAGGATGCTTTTGTTGATGAAGGAACTGGGGTAAATAAGATACTAACTATGCAGAAAATATGTTGTTATCATCGGTGTATTTTCCCTGGGCTTTAAATATTAGCTTTGTAGGATAAGAATGTTTTGGTCACCTTGAGAATATTAAAACAATGATCAGTAACTTATTTTCTTAAATCCTTTATATTCCACAGCAAACACTCAAATTAATTTTAGAGAAAATGAGTAATAATGAATCCGGTGTCACACATTTATTTGAAAACCACAAAGCTGTTGCTCTTTACCAAAGGACACTACCAAACACCAACGTTAAATGACCCTTTCCCAATCAGCTTTTAAACAAGCCTGAAGAAACAGTCGCAGAGCGGCTTTCCTCCTGAGGTCTTTAGAAGCTGTGAGCCTTGTTCACTGAAATTGCTTCATATTCTGCTTGCTGGTATAATCACCTATTTGGCCTCTCTGAATTTTCTGGAATCAGAATACAGTTTCTCTCTTTGGCATTCTTCGTGTGTTTCATTTGTCCATGCTGCTGACACTTATTGAAAAGAAGAAAGGGGAACTGCTTCCCCAGGGTTCCTTTTCAAAGGGCTGGAGCCCAGTGAGAACAGCTGCAGCTGTCCACCCGAGGTTCACCTGGCTTAGCAGCACTCATGCACCAGGAAACAGGCCCTGGCACAGGTAGAAACCACCCCCCAACCTAAAGAAGCAAGGCTGGTTTGCTCTACCTCCCTCGGGCCAGTGTCATGAGTGAGCGTGAGCGTCACTCAGATGAAGGAAGCCCTGCT